ATTTTCTGAAGAAGGGTCTAGGCCAGAAACGTCAGCCTTCCTGCTCCTCTGATGCTGCTTGGCCTGCTGTGTTCATCCAGCTCCGCACCTTGTTATCTCAGATTCTCCAGCATCTGCAATTCCTGCTGTCTCTAAAGATAAACACAAACAGCTTTTACCCTCAGGCTTCACCATGGGTGATTCATTATTATTTGAGTTACCTTTCACTGCGGAACTCTGGTTAGGTGAATTTGTTCTCTTTGGAACTAATGGCAACAGGACAAGGTTTAAAACCTAGTTAAAATCTAGCAATTTGCACTTAACGTTTTATTTTCCCCATCAGCAAAGAAAATAAATCTCTGCTTATATCTCTCTGAACCAGTGGTAGTAAACATTTTTGCACGGTGGGGGACACATTTCAATGTTTCTAGTCCTTGGATGGAAGAGGAGGGGACACAACAGTAAACATGAAATTCATGGAGAAAATCTAAAAGCAGTAATTTTATAATTTTAAATAGTAATTAATAGTAATGAGCATTTAAAAAGTGCCAAACAGGAAAGCTCAATAATTAAGCCAATTTTTGTCCTTTTGGTTAAGAAGCAGGGCTAAAGAGAGAAAAATAATCAGTCCCAATTTATGATCACTGGGAAAGGAGGTGATAACTGAACAAATGAGTTTAGTTTTTTAATAAACACCTACCTTGGGTCTCCTTTGGTTGGGCACACTCTGAGCTAGCCTCGCCAGAATTCCAAGTGAAAGTGGGGATTGAAACTGAGTTAACTTCCAGCTTGGGTTTTTTGCCTCTCAGAGCCTGCTTTCCCTCTCTTTCTCTTCTTTCCCTTTCCTATACACATCCCTCTCCCTCTTTCTATCTCACCATTTTTCTCTCTTTCTCACTCCTTTTTCCTCCTCTGTAACATTTCTGCCCCCACTGTCTTTCTCCTTTAGCTCTGTCTGACTTACTCTGTGCTGCTATTTTCAAAAAAACAATTCATGGTGCTTTGTGCTTCCAACATTTACCAATCCCTGCCTTCACAGTCAGAGCCCAGGCCCCTTCCCATAACCTTCCTATGGCAGCCAGAAGCTGTTGCTGCCCACCTCCAGCTTGCCTTTCAATGCTGGCAGTGTGGACCTGGCTTGCTGTCCCTGACCAGCCAAGGGAAGCTGCTCAAGCTAGTCAGGTTCTCCATACTTCTACTCAGCCCTGATTGCCATGGCCATCTAGCACGCCCCAGCCAAGATCTACCAGTACACGGCTGAAAATGTTCTCCTTCTACAAAAACAGCAAGGTGGATTGGCAGAATTCCTATTGCCCCACCTATTTCTGAACAACTTCTGATCCAGGTGAGAGGCCCCATCCTGGCCGCAGATAACACTCCTTTCCTCCTGTGAAATACTGCGGATGCCAGAGATCTGAAATGAAAGCAGAAAGCCTCCTATATTCAGAGCAGGCTTGCTGACTCACCACCATGGCTTGAGGCCTCGGGATGCTCCTTCCTTCAGTCACAGGCTGGTTCTCTCCCATATTTGCTGCTGATAAGCTCACTATACGCCTGCAGCAGCACAGAGAGAAAGGACCTTGGACTGGAGAAGTGGCTTCTTGCAAAATCTATGCATGATTGTAAATTACAGTAGATATTGGGCCATATAAAATGCTATAGCTTGGGCACACCTACTCTAAACTGTTAAATTTTCAGACTTTAAGTACATTTTTATCCCTTTCAGAAAATGGTGAGATTAAGTTGAAGAAGTTAAAACTTTAAGGTTAGTTGTTAGTGTTGGTGTTCAGAGAAAATAGTTTGAAGGAGGATGTCATATAGAGAATGTGCATACAAGGAAGAACATCTTAGCTGGAGGAGGCTTGTCAATTGTCAGCTTAACTGAATGTCTTAATTCAACTTCTTTACACTGTCAGGAATTCTCATGGGATCCTTTCCCAGTTATATTAACATGTGTTGTTTATAAGTAGAACATCCTGGACATCAGTGTTTTGCTTTCATTTGGTTTCAATTAGTGATGCAGTGATGGAAGTCTCCTTGATGCATCATAATGACTTACTTTCCAAAACATGTTCACTGAGCCAAGTGGGAGGCATAACTGGGAAATTTACAAACAGAAAAAATGGCCAGATAGTTGATTGTCTTGAGGATGGTTGTCAACTGCGGAAAGATATCAACAATTTGATTGAGTTGGTGCAAAAGTAGCAAATGGAACTCAATCTGGAGCAGTGTAAGGTCAAGCATTTGGATAGGGCAAACAAAGCTAGGAAATACAATAAACAGAAGGGTACTGACAGGGGTGGAGGAAGTGAGAAGCTTTGGACTGCATGTCCACATGTTCCTGAAGGTGGAAGGACGGGTCGATCAGGTGGTAAAGGCATAGAGCTTTCTTTTATTGGGTAAGGTACTGAATACAAGAGCAGGAATATAATGTTGAAACTAAATAAGACTCTGATTGGACAAGAGCTAGAGTTTTGTGTACATTTCTGGTGACCACATCACATAAAGCACATCATTGCTCTGGAGACAGTACAAAGGAGGTTTGCAAGAATGTCCCCATTTTCCAAGAATACAGCCATGGGGAAATATTGTGTATGCTAGTGTTGTTTTCCTCAGGTCAGAGTGGTGACTTACTGAGGTGTGCAAAATAATTAGGGGTTTGGATGCAGTGGACAGGGAAGATCTGTTTACCTCTAGCAGAGAGGTTGTTTACCAGGGGACATAAAGTTAAGATGATCAGTAGAAATATTAGATGTGAGGAAAAACTTTGGGTGCCTGGAATTCACTGCCCAGTTTGGTGCTTGAGGCACAAACCCTCAACTTATTTAAAAGGAATCTGGACCTGCACCTGAAGTCCTATAACCTTAAAGGCTATGGACCAGACACGAGTAAATGAGATTAGAATGGACAGCTTTATTTAATTCAAAGATCATCAAATAATGTTAATTAAACAAACACCAAAAGATGGTGGAATTTGAATTCAGTAAAAATCTGGAAGATTCCAATGGTGGCCATAAAACCATTGCTGATTGTTGGTAAAACCCGTTTTGTTCACTAATGTCCTTTAGCGAAGGAAATTCTGCCCTTACTGGTCTGGCTTATATGTGACTGTAGACCTACAGCAATGTGATTGACTCTTAACAGCCCTCTGGGTAATTAGGGATGAATGATAAATACCAGCCTGATTAGCGGTGCCCTCATCCTGTGAAATAACTTTAAAGACAAGTGATTTAGTGAAGGGAGAGGCTTCTTGATGGGTTTATATTTAAAATTTAAAAAGGGGGAACAATTATAAAGCAGTCAAATAATTGTCGCAATAGTGACTGCAAACAATTCCAGATCTCCATATGATTTCCAACCCTTTCCACTGTCACCCATATCCTTAACCTCAGTCACCTTCTCCTCAAATACTCATACCCTACAAAAAAAGCCAAAGAACTGCGGATACTGGAAGTCAGAAACAAAAACAGAAATTGCTGGCAATACTCAACAGGCCTAGCAGCATCTGTGGAGAAAAAACAGAGTTTGGGTCCAGTGACAATTCTTTAGAACACATTCTACCTCTTCCCAGTACCTCAATCCCACTGACTTGCCCTTTTACCAATCTCTCAAACCAGCCAAACCAATCCAACATGACTCCTATTAACCAACCAACCCCCACCCCAATTCACAATCTTTTCAGTTCCACACCACATCTACAATTCCAACAACACATACCTCCCTTAATCTCTGAATTCCATTGACACACCCTCTCCTCTAATTCATCAATTTACAATAATCCTCACTCACCCTATTCCCTCAATCTGACTGACTCGCATTTACCTCAATCTCTCAACTCTACCACTGCATTTCCTCCTCCTTTCCACAACCCTGCTAACCTAACTTTTCCTTTCCTTCAACACCACCAAAGCATCCTGTTCTCAATCCCTCAACACCACCAATCCATGCTCTTCCCTGTCCCTCAATATCATTTACACATCATCTCTCTGAATCAACCAACCCACACCATCCATAATACCTCATTCACAAACTCATCCTCTTCCCAGTCCTTTGACCTCACCAAGCCATGGTCTTCCCAATCCCTCAACCCCATTGATGCACACCTTCCATAATTTCTCAATCCCAATGACCCCTGCTCTATAACCGCCTCCATATTGCTGGCCCACCCATTCTGTTTACAATCCCCAAATGCTACTGACCCAACCCTCCCCAGCAATCCAACCTTCCCCACCAATCCGGCCTCTTTC